GCTGCTCCCTGTCGTGTGCCAGCATCCAGAAGATGTCACCTGCACCCTGGGCTCACACACACATCACCCCAGCAGAGAGAGCCAAAGACAGCAGGTACTGGTTTCCTGGAGGTGGATGATGGCCCTTCCATGGAGTGGATGCAGAGGGGTGCTGCTGCCCCTCCTGTGGTTCTGAGGTCAGGGCTGGGGGAGGGCTCCAGGGGTCCTGTAAGGGAGGTTCTGGAAGTGAGGACCCCTCTCCTGAAGCGGAACCCCACAGGCTGATCCCCTGGCCCCCGAGCTGACCTGGGTGCTCAGAGACTCTGGAGGGAGCCTGAGGTCACTGGGCAGCGGGGGGACTGCCACAGTTAGGGAGTCTGAGGGTCCTCTCTTCCCACCCTGCACCCCCTTCGTCTTCCCAGGTCTGTCCCTCTGTCTGTGGTGTCGGCTCCAACAGTTTCCATCCCTGACACGGTTCTCTCCATACTCCTCCTCCTCTGGGTCTGTCTCTCTCCCACTCTGGGTCTTGAGGCCTCACTCTCCTCTCTTCCTTGCCCTCCCCTTTCCCATCTCTCCTTCCTCACTCCATCCTGTTCTCCCTCCTCCAGCTCCCTCCTCTTGTCCCCACCCCCTCCTGCCACCCTCCACCCCAGCATGGGGGCCGGAAAGTCAGATAGACCTGTGTTCACACACAGAGCTGCCCACTAACTATGTCACCCAGGCCACTGCCTCTGCCTCTCTGAGCCCAGCTGTGGGGCCGGGGACCCTTGTGGGCATATGAGCCTCAGGCAATCCAGCTGCTTTATTCAGGGAAGAAAATCAGTGGATAAAGAGCTTGATGAGAAATACGATATTTACACAGTCTCAACATGTCTCCTGGAGCAGGCTCATTGCTGGGAAGTGTCCTTGCTTCACATGACTTCCCAGAAAGTTTGAGGAGAAACAGATTTATAGAATCTCAGATCATCTCCCTTCAAATATATCTTTTTAAAAATTAAGCAAGTTTTGGTCATGCTAGGTCTTTGTTGCTGCGCAGGCTTTCTTGGGTTGTGGTGAGTGGGGGGCTAGTCTTTGCTGCAGAGCTCAGACTTCTCATTGCAGTGGTGGCGCATGGGCTCTAGGTGCAAGGGCTTCCGTGGTGCGGCTCCTGGGCTCTGGAGGGTGGGCTCAGTAGCAGTGGCTCACCGGCTTAGCTGCTCCACGGCACGTGGAATCTTCCTGGACCAGGGATCGAGCCTGTGTCTCCTGCATTGGCAGGCAGATTCTTTACCACTGAGCCCCTAGGGAAGTCCCCAATATATCTTTCAATAACAAACTAAGGGAATTCCCTGGCTGTCCAGTGGTTAGAACTCGGGGCTTTCACTTCTATGGACCCTGGTTGGAGATCTTCGGGGGCGTCGGTGGCTCCAACAGTAAAGAGTCTGCCTGCAATGCAGGAGACCTGGGTTCAATCCTTGGGTTGGGAAGATCTCCTGGAAGAGGAAATAGCAACCCACCCTAATATTCTTGCCCGAAAGATCCCATGGACAGAGGAGCCTGGTAGGCTACAGTCCGTGGGGTCACAAGAGTCAGACACAACTTAGCGACTAAACCACCAGAGGAGCCTGGTGGGCTACTGTCCATGGGGTCCTAAAGAGCTGGACATGACTGAGTGACTAACGCTTTCACTTTTTCTGGGGAACGAAGATCCTGCAAACTTCATGGCCAAAACCCAACCAACCAACAAAACAAAGAAACAAACATAAGAAAGGACGAAATGGAGCTGAACATGGTTCTTGTTTAGAAATCCCTTCCGAATGTGATATCCCTACGAGGCTGCATTCAGGCCCACCCTGTCCAGTCCAGCCCCAGGAGGGAGGGGCCCAGAGAACTACTGGAGCTCAGGGTCTGGGGGGACAGGGGGGTGTGGTGCCACGAGGGGCTGGTGGCTGCCGCCTCACAGGGCTGGCTCAGTGCTTGCGCTGCTCAGGGGTGAGGGGCGGGCTCAGGCCGCCTGTGGCTGATGAGGAGGTGGGTGGTGGTGGGGTCAAGCCCTTTGAGTAGTAGCCCCTTTCTCTGCAGGGTAGAGTCTGAAGCGAGCTCAGGAGGGGTCCCACCAGCTCCCTTTGCCTCCACACTTGGGACTGAGTGACCTGAAGCCCCCAGCAGGCATGATCCGAGATACCTCAGGTGTCCGTGTCCTGGCCCCTTTGTCAGCAGGTCGGCCTCCCAGTGACCTCGGTTGCTGTGCCCTCCACAGCCCCTGCAGTGACATCCAGCAGGGCTTGCAGCTCCTGGGGAGCAGTGCCCACTTTTTATCCTGCGGGATGCATTCATTAGGCTCGGCCCAGCTCCAGCCCCCAGCTGTCTCAGGACCCCTGTTTCTAAGGGAGGAGTTAGGTCTCTCTTTTCAGGTTTGCAGGCAGGGCTCTAGACAAAGGGCCCAGGAGCACCAGAGGCCTGGGAGCTTCTGCCCATCCTAACAGCATCACCTGAGTTGGGTTGGAGGGACAGGCATTATCACCTGGAGAGAGACTCTCCCTCTGATGGGTCTCCTGTGAAACAGATACACCTCTTAGGAGGGGCCAAGCAAAGATGGGGGCCTCTCCCCAAGAAACTGACCCTTTCAGAGACAGGTGAGGCCAGAGGGACAGGACTGCTTGCCAGCCTGACCCCCAATGGCCCGGGCACATGAAGAGATACAGGGGCAACCCTGCCCACTTCCTCACTGCCAAACCCTGGTGCTTAGCTTGCCCCAATCTGACCATCAGGCACAGAGTAGTGGGTCAGCACTTCAGCGAGGAGGGTCCCTCCACCTTTCAAGGAGGACATTGAATGCTGTCTGGCTGGCCTGCTTGGAGACTGGAACCCAGGCGACCCAGGGTGAGGACATAGCAAGGATGTGCTGACACACCCTGAGATGACTGCTGACCTCCCTATTTTGGCTATCATTGCTGAGAATCTGCTCCTCTTCGGGTGTGCGTGGGGCTTCCTAAAGGCCAGAGCTGGGTCTACGCAGCCCAGATCCTGGTGTCCAGCTGGGACCTGGTGCAGACGAGGAGCCCAGGGCAGGGCAGGAAAGAGGAGAAGGGAATAAATGAACAAACACAGCCCTGCTCACAGGACTGCTACATCTTTATCCCAGTGCCTCTCCCAGCTGCTTGCAGCCTGCCCTGTGCCCCCACTGCCCCCTCAGGGTGGACAGGAGCTTGAAGTCCATGGCAGCGAGTGGGCATCAGGGAGGCAGAGAGCTCCTTGGGCAGAGGCTTCCGCATCCTGTCCCCCCTGCCATCGAGAGACCTCATGACACGGTGGCTCTGGCTCCTCAGGAGGTCAGCATTCCCAAGGGTCAAGGAATGCTGGGGAGACTCTTGGGGTCTGCCTCCTCTGTGTCTGAGGGACGAAGCTTGGAGGGTCTCTGGGCTGTAACTCCTGGGGACCTGAGCCCGGATGGCCCACAGCTTTGCTCACCAGGTGACTTTCTGGTTTTCAGGCCTGGCCAGTGTATCATGCCAAGTGCCAGATGATAAACGCTCCAGGAGGAATGAGTCCTATGCCGTTGTGCTGTTGGTCCCAGGGCTTGCTTCCATCTCAGAAGGGCTGCTGCACCCTGGAGAGATGAGAGGTGGGGTGTGGAACTACACACGTGGCACCTGGGTGCCCAATGCCCAGAGACCCCCAAGGTACCATGGCCTCCGGGGTTGCACTCCTGGGTTCGGGAATTGTGACATTTCCTGTTGTTTCTCCTTCCCTGGTGGACAAGGGGCTCCCTGCCACTGTTAGTCTCTGCATGGTCTTTCCTTCCTGCCTTCAATATCCAGCAAATGAAATCTTTCTCTTTTTGACATAGTAACTCAATTTTGGGGCCTGGACTTCCAGCCACCCCAGCACCCTCATCCTCTGAGGCCCAGGGGCAGGTTGGAGGCAGCAGCAGCCATCTTGGACCTTCCTGTTCCCCCTGTTGGGGGCCCTGTGGAATACAGTGAGGTAGCAAGATGGGGTGCCCCTCTTCTCAAACCCCAGGTGGGCTGCTGGCTGTCGCTTCCTTCTCCAGCCAAGTCTGGAGCCTGGAGCCGCCAGAAACCGCAGACTCTCCACGGGGGTCAGGGGACACCTAGGTGGGACTCCGCTGTCCGGCTTGCCTTAGCTCTACCTCTCAGCCTCCGTGCTAAGGGCCCTCGATGATAAAGCTGAGTGATAGTGGAAGGCGTCACAAGGCTGTCGCAAGGAATAAGACAAATTCACAAGGCACCTAGCAAAGTGCTGTTGTTTCTTTCAGGTCTATTTCACCCAAAGTTTGGGGGTTAAAGCAGGTGTTTAGCTGGCATGATAATGGACAGTACTTTATGATGAAAGCAGCACGGATGTGTAACTCAGAAAACGCTGCACTGTCATGGACATTCAAGATACGTTTTATCTTGGTCTTGTTAGACCACGGAAAAGCTAGGCCCTTGGGCTCCCTCGGGCTCCTCCACCAGATGGGACCCCACCGGGATCCCAGGACCCTGGCCGCTCCGCCCCTTATCTTTCCGCACACCAGGATCGAGCCCGCTGCTCGGGGCAGAGCACTGCACTCTGCCCTGGCGCGCCGCGAGCCTGCGGCTCGGTTGCCAAGCTCCGCCCGCTATCAGCGGCACCTTTGGCTGGCGGGCTCACGCATAAACAAAATCAAAGCACTAACAAGTACTAAGCAGGCCCGACCCTGCATAGCATCCGAGATCAGACGAGATCGGGCGCGTTCAGGGTGGTATGGCGGTAGACGCGAAACACAGAGGCTATTTTGCATACGAGCCGCTGCAGTAGGCGGGGCCAGGGCGGAGCCAGGCTAGGGCGGAGCGGGGCCAGGGTATTCCCAAAGCGGGGCGGGGCGACACCTGGGGGCGTGCCCATGGCGGGGCGGAGCGGAGCTAGCTCACGCCCAGAGTGGGGCGGGGCGACGTATGGGGCGTGCCTGGGGCGGAGTGGAGTTGCGCGCCGGATTGGAGGAGGAGAAGGCTGTTGGGGACCCGGGCTCTCGGCTGAGATCTGGGGCGGTCGGCGCCATGAGCACCGTGGACCTTGCCCGTGTTGGCGCGTGTGTCCTGAAGCACGCGGTCACCGGAGAGGTGAGGCCGAGCGGCTCCGGGCGGTGGATGCGCCCCGGCACCTGGCAGCGGCATCCGAGTCCCGCGTCTGGGCGGGTGGTGGTGGGGGTGGGGAGCTGGGCGCGATGGCTGGACGTGAGCGGCCCTGGCGCGGGGCTCGGGGTGTGGACGTGCTCGCGGGCCGTGGTCTGGCGGCGCTACTTACCCGCCCAAACACAGGCCGTAGAGCTGCGGAGCCTGTGGCAGGAGCAGGCGTGCGTGGTGGCCGGCTTGCGGCGCTTCGGCTGCATGGTGTGTCGCTGGATCGCCCGGGACCTCAGCAACCTCAAGGGGCTCCTGGACCAGCACGGCGTGCGCCTGGTGGGCGTGGGGCCGGAGGCCCTAGGCCTGCAGGAGTTCCTGGATGGTGGCTACTTCGCAGGAGGTGCCTGTGCTACCCACCCTCCTCCCCCAGCACCGGCCCCTCAACTGCCCAACCGCCCTGAGACCCCTCTTCTCCTCAGACTCAGGGCATTCGCTTGCCTCCTCCTCATCCAGCCCTGACCCTTCTCTCTGCAGGAGCGGCTTTGACATGCTCCTGTGTCCTCTCCCCTCCCCTCCTCTCCTACTTCCGCCCTTTCCCTTCCCCTGCCTCCTCCAGCTGTGGCCCCTACCTGCCTGCTCAGCCATGATGTTCCTCCCACTCTGGAGGCCTCAGTGGTGACTCTGGCCTGGAATCAAGACCAAAAGTCTTTGCTGTGTCCTCTGCCAGTCTCCCACCTCCCCAGCAGCTGGATCCTGAACTTCCTCGGATGTTTCCCCACAAGCCCAGTAGGAGTGGCTGGGCCTAGAGCCCAGACTGTACCGGCTCCCACCCTACCTACCCCTCTGGCCCACCTCTCTCTCCAACCTGTGATGTGCACTCACAGAGTCCTGCTCCTCCCTTTTCCCCTTGTCCCCTCTGGGCCTCTGCCCTTCTTCTTAACAGTGGGGACACTCAGCCCTGTTCTGCCTCTCCTGGTCATGGGTGGCTGAGCTGGGCACCAAGGGTGGACAGAGGGCCGGATGCAGAAGGGTGAGCCCCGGGGCGGGGGGTTGTGGGGGAGGGAAGATAGGCCAGGGGCACACAACTGTGGTCTCTGCCTTCTAGAGCTCTACCTGGACGAAAGCAAGCAGTTTTACAAGGAGCTGGGCTTCAAGCGGTAAGCTGGGAGCTCCGGGTGTCACTGCTCCCCTCTTCTTCTGCCTGCCACCCTCTCCTTGGCCAAGTGGACTCTGGGGGCATCCACTGCTTCAGTCAGCCCTACTAGGCTCTCTCTTGGGTGCCTGTCTCTGTTACGGGCTATAGGTTAGGCTTCTCACCCAGGACTTCTCCCTAGCTGGCAGCAGTGGGGGCCTGGGCCTAGGGCGCCAGTCAGGGGCCCCTCAACTACCTTGGGTGCCTTGCTACAGGCTGGCTGCCTTGTCTGATTGGCGGTGCCAGCTGAGCCAGATCCCTGGACTCACCCCATCCACACTCCCCACACCCTCTGTGGGGCCCTAGGCCTGCCAGCCGGTGGCTCTGGCAGCTGCTCCTGGGGCTGGGCCAATTGCTGGCCTGGCTGCCCCATGTCCCCTGAGCCCCTGGCGAGTTGGGGTGGGGCTTGCTTGTGGGAACTGGTAGGTGCGTCTTGTGGAGTCGGGGTGGGGGGCAGGTTCTGGGGCCCAGTCTTTGGTGCAGAGTCAGAGCCTTCACGAGCCAGCTGTGTCTTGGCAGGTACAATAGCTTGAGCATCCTGCCGGCTGCCCTGGGGAAGCCTGTTCGCGATGTGGCTGCCAAGGTTTGTGAGGCGACGGTTGTATGGGGCTGGGGTGCAGGGCTTCTGTCTGGGACTTACCTGGGCTGCTCCCCTCCTCCAGGCCAAGGCTGTCGGCATCCAGGGGAATCTGTCCGGGGATCTGCTGCAGAGCGGAGGGCTGCTCGTGGTTGCCAAAGGTGGGCTAGGGTACTGGCGTCAGGGGTTAATCTGTGGTCATGGGATGGGGGTCGCGGGGCCACATGCTTAGGTGGGAAGGTCTTGCTGAACTTGACTCTGCCCTGACCCTTCCTCCCTTCCTCCCTCTGGCTTGTTAATCACAGTTTCCCTCTTTGCAGTGTGACCCAGCTCTCAGTGTCCTCTTAGCTGGGTAGGGTGTGGCCAGAGCAGCTCACACATCTCCGTAACCAGGTGGGGTGGTGGCTGCACAGGGACACCCTGACCACCCCATCCCTGCCCCCACCTGCTGCAGGTGGTGATAAAGTGCTGCTGCACTTTGTCCAGAAGTCCCCGGGTGACTACGCCCCGCCGGAGAGCATCCTGCAGGCCTTGGGCATCTCTGCAGAGGTCGGCCCCAGCGAGCCGCCCCAGGTGAGCCCAGGCCCTGGGGTGGGCACTGCACGAAGAATGCCTCCTCCCCAAACTCCCCAGGGTTGCGTGCTTGATGTGGCCATACTTTGAGCTGGACCTGGATGGCTTTAGGTGATTCTGTGCCCACGGCAGCCCCAGGATGTCACTGTCACCTGCCCCACTTTGTGGTGACAGGTCAGGGGCAGGGTGGCTGTATGGGTGGGCACAGCAGGGCCTCTTTGGAGGACAGGGGTCACTCAGGGGCTGCAGAGGAGAGAGGTGGCTTGTCCTCTCAGCCTAGGAGGGCCGGGGTTGTCCCAGGTGACTGTAGCCCATATTAGCATGGTTCTACCTAAGGCCGACCTTCTGTGCCCCACTTGGAGGGGACTGTCCAGCACGCTCCTCCTCCTACTTGGGCCTTATGCCCTCCTGGAGGGTCTGTGGCCCTGGATGGTGGGATGAGCGGCTCTTGGCTCCAGGGGCATGGCCTGCCTGATGGGGCCTCTGCTGCCTCCACAGTGTGATGAAGAGGCATGCTCAAGGTGAAGGTCCCAGGAGGTGTCACCTGCCCCGGGCACACTGGGAGCTGAATGTGAGCAGACTCCAGAATATCTGGGTGGCCTGGTCTGTGAGCAGTGATGAGCATTAAACTGCGGTTTCTGGGCAGCGTTTCTTCATTGCCTCTGAATCTTGAGCTCAGCAGCTGGGGCCTTGATCACTGTTGGTTTCATCTGAGCGGGTGGGTGGTCGTGCGTCCTGAGGCTTCACTTTCCCCCCTAGGAGAGTCACTTTCCCTGGTGGGTTGGTGGTGGTGGACACGCCCCTGGCAGTTTCTCTGGAAACCCTGGGCCTTTGGTGCCTACAGGTTAGGGGTCTGCAAACAGGCCCAGGGTGTGGGAGACGAGGGTGGGATGGGCTCCATCTGATAGTAAACACCCCAGGTGGGAGCCCAGCCTGGAGGGCTCAGGGTCAGAGTTCACATCTGGTGGGAGCTAGCTGGGTTCTAGGGAGCACTGCTGGACAGCCGGGGACTTGTAGGGAAGCCATCCTGGGGGAGGGAATTGCCTAGGGAAGGTCCAGCTCCTTGAGGCCCCGTCACGTGGGGGTGACCAGCACTTCAAAGTTGACAGGTACAGAGCAGAACTCCTGTCCTGCCGGCTTCAGGGGCTCTCATCTGAGTCCAGATGAGTTTCTCAACAGCCCCCCCCGCCCCCCGCCCCGCCCTGCCCTGTGTCCCTTGGTCTGGGCCTGGACAACCACAGGGGTGGGGTCCACCCGACACCCTCACCCAGCTTCTCTGTGGTCGTTTAAAACTCAGGGCATGTGACAAGCTTTAATCCCTCACTGGCTTCCAGTTACACAAAACCCCACATCCAGATAGTGGGGTGCAACTTGCATCTCTTCTGCCCCATCCCCCATCTTAGTTCCTTCCTTCCTGAGGAGCCCCTTGCCTTGTCTGAACCCTTGGCATGGGGTGGGCATTTGGGGGCATCGTGGTCACTGCTGTGTGTCCAGCACAGGACCCTGGGGGTCTGTCAGGAGTGCCCTGCCATGTTCCCACTCGGCCTCCAGCTGTCAGTGGCAGGTGCAGCGGGAGAGGGGGCACTTTCTCTGGTACTGTCACACTGACGGCTCGCCCTGGGCCCTGCTACACAGACAAGGCAGCCGCTTCTTTAAAGCGTTTACTTAGCTGAAGTCTGAAGCTCGTGGACATCTGAGGAAGACGCACTTTGGAGAGCGGGCGGAAGACGGGTAACTGCATCTACAGGGCTGCGTTGGGCAGCGTAGACCCTTGCAGGCGGGCGCAGAGGCGGCGCCGGGACGGGTGGCACTCAACTCCTGTTGTCTGAGGCGCCAGCCGGGGTTCAGGCCCGGTGTGGAGGCCCTGTGCGGCGCGGGTGGGTCGGCTGCTGGCTGCGGGGTCCCCACCGGCGGCACTGCCTCCGTGCAGATGGGACGCCTCGGGGCGGCGGGTGGGCGTGGGCCGCACAGCGCGGCTCGGCCTTGGCTACCAGACACGGCATCGCACCTTTGGGTTCATGGGGGAGCCCTTCGTGCAGTGGAACGCGTCTGCGAAGGCGTCCAGGTTCTGCAGCGAGCCCAGCACCCTGCGGGTGTACGGGAGGGGCCTGAGACAGTGCCGGCCTGGGCGCGGGGCGTGGGGATGCCAGGGCCACTTGCCTGTACTTCAGGGGGCTGTGGACATCAGTCTTGATGGACTGGATGGCGAACTCTGGCCGGTAGGATCCGCACCACACCTGTGGGCGCATGAGGGGCGTGGCTGCGGAACTGGGGAATGGGCGGGGTTGGGAATGCAGGGGTGAGGAGGACCAGAGGGGATGCCCCCACCTACACGCTAACAAGGGCCTGGGGAGGCGGGCTCCCCTAGGGCTGTGGCGGTGCGGGAGTGTGGTCTCCTTCCTCTAGGCACAGAGGAGTTCCGCCAGGACCCCCTGCTCCTTGGGTGGGGAGAGGGAAGGCAGCCGGTTGCCCCCTCCCTCCACAGCTACATCTGAATCTTCCCCAGTCCCAGCTCCCCTGCCATCCTTTCCCTCCAGGAAGCCCTCTTGGCCCATTAGTTCTGGTTCTGCCTGGCTTGCCAGCCCACAGTGTCCCTGGAGGCATCCTGTAGTGAGGGCTCACCAAGGATAGGAGGTGGGAGCCAGTTCCCAGCGGTGGGTGAGGGGGCAAGTGGGGAGGGGAGGTAGAGGTGGGGAACTGACTCCCACCTGTGCATAGTTGATGAAGAACAGTTGCTGGTAGGTCAGTTCCAGGCCTGGCAGCTGCTGGTCCTTGCCACCTTCTGCCACCCACTTCAGGTAAGCCTGCAGGCACCAAACGGGTGCTGGGCCAGGGCCTGCCCTCCCGGGGGCAGCACCAGCCTGGTCAGGACTCCTAGTCCTTGGCTTGGGGCAGGATGGAGGTCTGGCTCCCAGGCCTCCTCTGGTGGGGGGTCCTGCCTCTGCAGCATGAAGCTTTTGAGCACCCCAGGGACCATCTGAGCACGGAGCCTGGCTAGGCTCTGTGGGGGCTCACTGCCTGGGCAGCCACAAATGAGCTCCTGACACCCAGTGCCCAAGGCTGTCAGTGCAGGAGTGTCGCCGAGGCTGGAAGGTGTGCAGTGACTGTCACTGTCTTATTTGGCAATGGACAGGGTGTCCCCAGAGTGCAGAGGCCGCAGCTAAGATTGGAGTGAAGTGAGGGCCAAGTGGCTGTGGTACTTGCCCACCTGCGGCCAGCAGGCTCCCCCAGGGCTCTGCTGCCTCCCCGTTAGATGAAGAAGGGTCCCAGGATACACCTGGGCTTGGGCAGGGGACAGTCCCTGCCACACTGAGGGGCCTGGCCCTGCCTGGGCCTGACCACTCCCTTCTCCCACTTCCTCCGGGGGGGCCTTACTTGGACCCACCTTGTATGCCTGCCGCACCCCTCCATTGTCGGCGATGTTTTCCCCGAGTGTGCTGAAGCCATTCACCTACAGGCGGGAGACAGGATCGTGGTGGGGGGAGCGCCTGGGCTGCCCTCCTCTGCCCTCCCCCAGGCCAGGGCTGCTGCGTGGTCCTGGGATGGCTGCTCACATTCTGGTCATCAGCCAGGTCCCAGGAGTAGTTGCCATACTGGTAGACCATGCACTCTGACTGCTCCCTGAAGTGCTGGGCGGAGAAGTTGCTCCACCAGTCCAGCATGTTCCCGTTCTTGTCGAAGTTCCGGCCTGAATGGGGAGGTTAGGGGAGGGGTAGGCTACCTGTGATCCCCAGCGATCCCCAGCCTGCCCAGCACCAGCCTCTCCCCCACGTCCTCCTGGAACCCCCGTGTCTGGGGCTCATATGAACAGAGAATGGGCCCTGGGTTGGGGCTGCTTAGGCCCTGGGGGACAGAAGGCTTCAGTGGTGTCCACGCCACCCCCAAGGTCAGGGTCTGGGGTCTCTCTCAGGTCTGTGGACTAGTGACTCTTGCTGTGATGTCTAAACTCTCCAAACCCCAGGGAAGGGAGCATGGATCCTGGGGGCCCGCGGCTGCCCTCAGAAGGTCTGGGTGGGTCAGCCCTAGGGGAAGGCCAGCCTCCCTGGGTGGCAGCTTGAGGCCCCTGGAAGCAGGTGGGGGGGGTCCCCCAGGCAGTGGTGGGAGGAGTGAGTGTGTCACTGGAGGTGTGGCTCGGCGCCCTGGGCAGCCCCCCACCATTGTCGTCAAAGCCGTGGGTGATCTCGTGCCCGATCACCATCCCGATGCCCCCGAAGTTCAAGGCCTGTGGCTGCTCCTTGCTGAAAAAAGGGGGCTGGAGGATCCCGGCGGGGAACACTGTGGGGGGTGGGAGGTGGGGGGAGATAGAGTAAGCTGTAGGTGAGCACACCCATGTGCAGGGCTCTGGGCGGGCACATCGAGGGGTCCTGCCATTTAACCCATGGCCGGGGAGGTAGAGGTTATGACCCCCCCCCATTTTACAGAGGAGGAAAAACCAAGGCTCAGAAGGCAGGAGGGCAGGACTAGAGGAGCAGGGTGGAGAGGGAATGTACCAATCTGGTTTCGGTTTGGAGAGTAGAAGGCGTTCACCACGGCGGCCCCGATGATCCAGCTATAGAAGACAGGTGCATCGTTCAGAGCCCAGCTTTCGTGAGCCTTCCCTCCAGGCCCCTCTACTTGGCTGACCAAAACCCACTCTGACGCATGCACAGTGTTCACGTCACAGGGCCAGCACTGCCAATGGCCAGGGCTGGGTCTGGGCCGGTCTGACAACCTGGTTTCTCCCTGGAGCCCCACAAACAGAGGGTAGGTGCAAGGGGCTCAGAGTCATACCACTGCCCTCCCCAGCTGGCCTGGCGCCTGGCCCATCCCCCACCCCACACCATCTCCACTCACAGGTTCTGGTCCACCTTTTCCCTAAGCTTCTTGAGGCTCCGCTGGGCACCAGCCTTCAGATTCTGCAGTCCGTTCTCAAAGTACAGGTGCTCCGAGAAGTTCAGCTATAGGAGAGAAGTGGTCATTTCTGGACATGCGTTCAGGGTCCTCAAGGGGCTGGCGGAGAAGGGAGGTCAAGGACGGCTACACACTGGCCTCAGGACTTGCCAGGCAGTCCTGTATGTGGCTCACAGGCTCTGGATACAGGTGGACTAAGGGCCAGCCCTGGCTCTGTGTGTTTACCAGGCAAGATCCGAGACCCTCCTGGCCTCAGTTTCCCCACTGGTAACGGAAGGTGATGCTGGAGCCCTGGCACATGGCCAGATGACTAAGTTAGGAGGGTCCACCCCTGGGAGTTGAGGGCCCAAGGTCCCCTAAGCTGGTTCAGGGGCAGGTTGGGTTGTGGTGAGGGGACAGGTGGGGCTCTCAAGGGCCCAATGGGGAGCCCCCACTGGAATACACACATTGGAATACTCCTCATCCAGGTGTTTGTTCTCCTCCTCCAGGATGTAGTCAGCGTATCCGATCTGCTCCCGGATGTTCATGGCCTGGGGAGGAGAGGGGGCCAATTCATGCCCACCCCACCATGGGCATCCTGGTTCTGCCCCCCACCATGTGGGTCAGGGGCTAAGGGACTTGGCTTTCCTTGCAGG